CTTAGATGGTGCTTGGGTTTAGGCCTCAGTTGGCCTCAGGCAAGGCAAGCACCTTATCCCCCTGACCTCTCTCTCTCTAGCCTCACTTACGTTAAGTTTTAATTCTGTCACTGTCACTGTCACTGTCCTCCCGTTGTTCATCGATTTGCTCGAGTGGGCCCAGTAACATTGTGAGACTTGTTACTGTGTTTGGCATATCAAATACGTCCTGGGTAGCTTGCCAGGCTTTGCTGTGCGGACGGGATACTCTCCGTAGCTTGCCGGGCTCTTCAAGAGCGGCGGAGGAACTGAACTCGGGTTGGCCATGTTGGCTGCATGCAAGGCAAATGCCCTACCTGCTGTGCTATCGCTCCAGCCCTTAATTCAGGTATATCAGTTAAAGTCTTTTCTTCATTTTTTAGGGGTAGGATGTAGATGTAAGCGTAGATGCCTCTCTCTCATCCTCTCTCCTTTTGGTTTTGGGGTCACACTCAGTGGTGGACTAGGGTGGGTGGTGACCATATGCATTGCCTGGATTCGAGCAGGTGCATAGATTCGAACCTGTGTGTCATAGCTTCGGCAAAAGCTAGGCAAGCACCTTAACCCTTGCACTATTTCTCTGGTCACAAGTTGTCAATTAATAGACACTCTTGGAAGCCATCAGTGAAAGCTAATTGTCAGTATTTAAAAAAAGTATTTAAAAAAAGGAGAAATGCTTCTCCTTCTGCCCTGTCTCAAACTCCATTGTCTTACAAAGACAGTTCTTTTGTATATTCTTTATTATAGTTTGTTTTTTTTAAAAAAAATTATAATGTTTCTTCTCCTTGTATTAATAAGCACCTTAAAGACAGGAATTGTAGCTTCCTTCTGTTTTGTTGTTTTTGTGCCTGGTATCTATTAGAATTCTTACTATGTAAAAGCACAGAAAATGAACATGAAGCTGACACCTAAGGATAGTAGGTACACGGGACAGAAAGATTGCTCCATAGCTGGAAGCCTGCCTCTGGAACAGAGGGGAGACGGCAGCTGGAATAGAGAAGGAATCACTAAGAAAATGATGGCTTAAGGAATCGGTCGGGATGGGAGATGTGTGCTGAAAGTAGATTAAGGACCAAACATGATAACCTCTCAGTGTCTGTGTTGCAAACCATAATGCCCAAAAGTAGAGAGAGAGAGAGTATGGGGAATATTGTCTGCCATGGAGGCAGGTGGAGGGTGGGAATCGGCGGGGGGTGGGGGTGGGGAGGTCGTATACTGGGGACATTGGCAGTGGGGAATGTGCACTGGTGGAGGGATGGATGTTTGATCATTGTGTGATTGTAACCCAAACATGAAAGCTTGTAATTATCTCACGGTGATTCAATAAAATTAAAAAAAAAAAAAAAGATGCCACTGGGGAATGGTCACTATCTTCATGCAAAAAAAAAAAAAGCACAGTAAATGTCATGGGAACGAATGAATTGAAATCAGGAGATGTGGCTTAGTGGCACTGTGTTACGGATCAGACCTAGGTTTGATTTCCCCCAACCCCACCCCAATACACACACACACACACGCCACACCACACACACATACACACATGTGAAAATGGGAGCCAGAAAAATAGTCCAGAGGGTAGGGCACTTGCCTTGCATGTCGCCAACCCAGGTTCAATCCCTGCATCCCATACGTTCCCCTGAACAACAAGGGAAATTCTTGCTTGCAGAAGCAGGAGTAACCCCTGAGCATTGCTGGGTGTGGCCCCCAAACAAACCGAAAACAAAGTGTTTAAGACATCTCTCTTTTGGAAGAGGGTTGGGGCTACTTCCAGTGAGGTGCTTTGAGATTGCTTCCAGCAGCAGTGGTGCACGGAATGCTATGTAGTGCCAGGGTCAAACCTAAGGCTCCTGAATGCAAAAATGGTCTCCAGTCCTTTGGGACATCTCCCACGTCAAAGATAGATAATTTTTATTGTCTTATCTTTGCTCTTTGGGCTACACCCAGCAGTACTCAGAGACTACTCTAGGTCTAATCTTGGGGACCCGCTCCCTGTGGTGCTCAGGGGACCATGCAGTGCTGGTGAATAAATGAGTGTTGGCTGCATGCCAGGGAGGTATCTTAGCCCTATGTTATCTCTTTGACTCTGAGTTTAGTTTAAAAATTTTTTTTGGTGAAGGGGGCTTTGTGTCAGGGATTGAACTCAGGGCTTGTGCCAGGCATCATATCCAGAGCTTATGCATAATTCAAGGCATTAGATTTACTCTCCATCCAAATCCCTGGATAGGGGCCAGAGCGATAAGTGGTGAGAGCACTGCCTTGCATTCCACTAACCGGGGTTTGAACCCTAGCACACCAATATGGTCTCCCGAGCCTGCCAATAGTGATCCCTGAGTGAAGAGCCAGGAGTAAACCCTGTGCACCACCAGGTGTGGCCCCCCCAAAAAACAAAAACACCTCAGTTTCCTGGCTAAGTTTGTATTTGTGGGGGTCACACCCTATGGTGCTTGGGATTTGAGCCATTGTAATGCCCGTGGCCTCATGCATGGCAAATGCTCTACCCACTAATGGCTTAGAGGTGTTGTGTTAAGTATCAGATCTAGGTTTGATCCCCGTAGCCCCACCCCAACACACACACACACACACATACACACCCCACTCTGAACTCTTCAGCTCCTCTCAATTTATATTTAAAAAAATTTACTGGTTTTGGGGCACACTTGGCTTTTCCTGATTGTGCTCAGGGATCGCTCCTGGTGAGGCTAGGGAATCCCATGAGGTGCCACGGATCGAACCCAGGTTAGCAGAGTGCAAGGAAAGCTTCCTACCCATTGTAATATCACTTTGGTCCCCAATTTTAATATTTTTATATAGGAACTGGGCTGGAGCGATAGCACAGCGGTAGGGCGTTTGCCTTGCGCGCAGCCAGCCCGGCCGAGCCGGGTTCGATTACTCCGCCTCTCTCAAAGAGCCTGGCAAGCTACCCGTGACATATTCAATATGCCAAACACAATAAAGGAAACACAAAGTAACACATCTCAAAAAGGAGATGTTACTGGGCCCACTCGAGCAAATCGATGAACAACGGGAAGCAGTGTGTTTGTTTTTATATAGGAATTAGAAGACTGGTTATTTATATTAAATACTTCAAGTGTAAGAAAATACAATGTATAGGGTCTGAGAGACAGCTCAACAGACTGGGTGAACTCAGTGCTTTGTATGCTAGAGTTCCAAACTCGTACCTCTGCTCACCCATATTCTCATGAGCACTACTGCATATTTCTCGAAAAAGGGAATGAGCTACTTAAATTTAAAGGATTGTGTTCGGGGCCAGAGCAACAGTACAGCGAGTAGGGCATTTGCCTTGCATGCGGCTGTCTTGGGGTCAATCCCTGGCATCCTGTATGGTTCCACCTGAGCACCACCAGGAGTAATTTTTGCGTGCAGAGCCCGGAGTAACCCCTGAACATTCCCAGGTGTGATCCCCAAGGCCTCTCCTCCCAAAAAAAACCCCAAGTATTTTGCTTTGTTGTTGGTGTTTTGTGTGTGTGTTTGAGGGGGGTTTAGGGCCACACCCAGCAATGCTCAGGAGCGACTCTTTGCTCCCCATACAGGAATCACTCTTGGTGGTGCTTGGGTGGGGGGCAGGCTTATGAGATTCCGGGGATCAAACCTAGGTTGGTCACATGCTAGGCAAGCACCTAACCTGCTGTACTATCATCTCTCTGACTCAATATTTCGTAGTCTTCTGAAAATCATAGTAGTGCCTGGTACTACACACAATTGGGGAACTTAAGTAGGATATTACATAGGAATTTAATATCAGTTGTAAGAATTTTTAAGACAGCATAGTTTGCCTTGCCCACCCCTATTTAATTAAAGGGGGTGTTATTCAGATAAGTCCCTTGTTGGGCTTCACCAGTATGGCGGAGAAAACACAGTACAACCTTGGGTAGATTTCATCTAACAGTGTTCTGCCCCTCATGTTGGCCTTAGTGAAGTCTTGATGCAGCCTGCCAGCTAGATGATGGTCAAGCAGTTGCTGAGCTTTTTCCCCTTTCCTTAGTATGGATGGCTTGAACAGGAGTTTGGTGTTTGCTTCCTGATTGTATTGGTATTGAAACATGTCCGGTATGTGGCCAGGGTTGGAGCCAACTGTGTTTTAAATCTTCGTTTTAATTAAAAAGATATTATTTACATTTTTTTTGGTTTTGGGGGCCACACCTGGCGGTGCTCTGGGCTTACTCTTGACTCAGTCCTCAGGGACCATATTAAGGGGCGGGTCATCAGACCCACGCCGGCCACATGCAAGCCGGGGCCTTACCTTCTGTACTGTCGGTCTCTCCAGTCTTGGTGCTGTTTTTCTGCTTGTTTTTTAATGATCGATTGATTTATTGCCTCCTCTTTTACCTCCAGCAACTTCGAGGGACACTTTCTCGTATTACAGCCCTCCCTTTCCCATCCCTTGTTTTCTGCGTCGCGGGAAGCGGGAGTTTCCGCCAGGCTGGATGTGCGTAGCTGATCTAATATGCAAACAAATTTATACATGACCAGGAGGGAGTGCCGTGGATTAGTCTGAGAAAAGAAAGGCGCGGCAGAGGCCTGGGGGGCACCTTTTTATTGTCGCGTGCCTCCCCGTGGTTATTGCCGGGACGGAGGAGGCTTTCCGGGGTGTCGCGCCTGGATCGGGGCCATTCCTAATCCTCAGGCGGGGCGGGTGGAGGAGCGGGAAAACGGGGCACGGCATCACCTGGCCCAGCTGCGGGATGCTGGGCGCCCCGCTTCGCGGTGGGGGCCAGGAGCCGCGGGGGCAGCTCTAACAAAGAGGAGCCGCGCCGGGGCCGAGGCCGCGAGTAGCTGGCCTATCCCCGGCGGCTGACCTCCCAGTGGGCCTCCCCAGTTGGCTGTTTGGCGAGTCGCTCCGCTGGCTCCCTGGCTCGCCATTGGCTGTGAGGACAGGAGGGGGGTCGCAGAGGGCCGGGATGGAGTTGGAGGGGGCGGGGCTGGCTTCCGGCGGTGAAGGGGAGCGAGCGGCCGCCGGCTGGGGGAGGGGGTGTCGGCGCACCACGGAGTGCTGTGCTCCGAGAGCCTGGCACCCGGAGCCGCCGCCTCCCCCTCCCCCTGCCGAGACCCCCGCAGCCCCTTCTCCCGCTCCCCGGGCGGGGCCGGGGGGCCAGTGGGCAGAGCTGCCCCTGGCGGGCGGGGCGGAGCTCGGAGCCCCACGGAGCGCCGCGGAGCGAACCTCATCTCCCTTCCAGGGCGCAAGGTGTGTGTGTGTGTGTGTGTGTGTGTGTGTGTGCTTTTTCTAACGCCACCCCGACTTCAGCCGACTTAACCTTGGGGCAAAAGGGACATGGATTGGAACGTAAGAGCACCTCATCCCGTCAGTTTGTTTGCATTTCTCTCTCCTACCCGTCATTCTTCCTTCATCTCACCCCTGCTGCACTCTTACCTTTTACTGATGTGTCAATGCCGGTTGGTTGGCAGTGGAGTGAAAAGAACAGAAGAAAAGCGGAGCTCATTCTTGCGTGGCTTCGGATGCAGTAAACCAAAAAGAAAAGGTTTTAGGGTAGGAACGGGTTTTTGGAACTCTTATTGCACCGGTGTCCATTAAGGCTGCCTTCACCATTTTCTTACTTGGGACTGCTTTAATCAGCAAAAACGTTCCGAAAAAGGAGGGGCCTTGTGGAAAGAGGGAGTGATTCCTGTCAAGTGGTGGATGAAGAAATTCTGGTAGTTGTGAGTGCTTAACTCTGCTCAAGTCTCTTCCCAAGTTAGTTGTCACCGGCTTTGTGTAGTACTGTACCCTGGAGAAACCTAGTGAGCAAGGTTACTGTTCCTGGTTCTCCACTCAACCATCACTCCTAGTGGGGGGCGGGGGGCATAACAAGATGCTGGGGATGGAACTCCAGACATCACATGCTAGGCTAACCCCCTACCCACTTTTCTGTCTTTCCAGCCAGTTAACGGATGGTATGTGGATCAAATTTATCTTGAGGTTGTTGATAAGCAAGGACCTAGAAGGGGTGAATATAAAATTTGGGGGCAGTTCATTGGTAAATATTCATTGGAAATGATTGAGAATTCATTCTTGTAATCCAGCTATAGTTTCCAGTGATTGTTCAGGCTGAAGTCCAATTTTGAAGACAGAATTGATGTACTGCAGCTGTCTTTTCATTATAGTTTTAGCTGGATTAAAGTTTTTTCTTTGCTTGAATTTACTATATTTTTAGCCAATAAAGGTGTACTTTGAGGTGAAACCAAGCATTATAAAGGATAGGGCTGATGGGACAGCTTTTAAAGTTATACGTAGTTCACTTAATTTTTTTATATTTGTTTCTTGACTGATTTATATAATCAATATTTTGCCTGGTACAGTGATTTCCCCAAACAATTCCCCTCAGGAGACAGGCTCTATCTATAGAACTAATCATAGGTATAACTGCACTCATCTCCAGAAATCTAAGGCAGATGAAAATCCTCAAATTTTGTCCACTTTAAGAAAACAATTATATAAAACCATGGCTATCCATAATTTCTTGGATTGAGGGAACATGGTGTTGAGGAGGTTAAAGTAACTGATTTAATATTCTTTAGCAATCTGTCTTTATTCAGTTTGCCTATTTCTGAGTCATAGCTTAGAATGTGTTAAGAAAAAGAGCCCTATGTTCTCTCTGATAGGAGATGTAAGCCCAAACCCAATCCCCCATTCACATTAGAAGTCTAAAATGATCCCCTTGAGAAAGTGAAGGAAAAGATTGGGCCCTTGGCATTGTTTGGTTCTCATAATAACCGTTTGAAGCATTGTAAGGTTTGAAATTGGGAAGATGGTCAAAAAAGGTGCAAAAACATTAAAGGCAACAAGATCTAGGAATGCTGCTCTCTGTGAGAGACTTATTTAGAGACCAAATGTATTCATATGGAGATGTGGCTAGTGGTAGTTTTTAGTCTTGTCTGAGACAGTATTTTGTGTGTTAAAGCATAACCATCTCCCCCAGGATTTGACTCTTAGAAGCCTTTTGAGGAAGTTGTTTATTGTGAGTTGAATGAGAGGGTAGAGGACTTCTTGGAGTCTCTTATCTAAGCACAGATAAGAATTTAGGATTGATTGCTGGTGAGTTTCTGAACCCTTTCTAATGAATGGTTTCTAAGGCAAAGTGCGTCTCAATCAGCTTAGACCTCAATAGTTTACAGGTCGTCCTTTCTAATTATACTGTCCTTAAAAAATCCTTGTTGGGGTGGAGAGAGCACTCAGTAGCTCAGTGGTCTTAATAAGCACAGGCTTTGCCTGCTGGAGGTTGGGGGAGGGGAGTTGGTTCCTGGCACTGCATTTTCTCCTAGTACTGCTGGGTTGTCCTATCTCCCAGGACCCTCAAAAAATTCTTTTGTGAACTGGGGTTGTAGTTTAGTGGTAGAGTATTTTCCTTTCTTGGTGTGAGACCCTGGGTTCGATCCCCAGCATAGGGAGAAAAAAGAATCCTAAAAATCCTCATTGTTACTGAATGACTTGTAAAGCAAAAGAAAAAAAGAAGTATGTACCTCACTTCATCAAAGATCACTTAGCTCTTGTTAACCTGGGTCAGCAATTGTGTTTTCTTCTGGGTGGTGCAACTCTTCAATTTTAAGACACCACTGTATTTGATTATCTTTGGTTTTGTTGCTAGTAATTCAGTGAACTGAAGCACTCATTTTGGAAACATGCCAGTGATAACACTGCCCTTGGGCCTCGATGGATGGAAAAATAGGACAGAGTAAACAATTGAGGGCATAAATAATGAATCTTCCAACTGAGCCCTGGGAGAGAAAAAGGAGATTATCCTCAGAGCTGTTCAATCTGGCAGTGAAAGGCGAAGAGCCCACTGAATTCATTACCCTGACTGTGTTTGATACTGCACTTGTTAGAGCCATCAAAACAAGAGTTGTCTTTAAAGACTTTTACACTGCCCCCCCTTTCTTGGATCTGCTTTGTTTTTATTAAACTGAACCCCACATTGCTTCATTTAATTTTTTAGAATCTAGGCTTTTGCTCCTTCCTGCTACCTTGTTATAATTCTCTTTCTCTTCAGCCAGATTTAAGATTTTTACCTTAAACAAGACACTTCGTTATCTATAATATTTTAATTAAAATTAAAAATACAATTTTTAAAAATGGGGGAGGGGACTACACTGGCAGTGCTCAGATTTACCCTGGCTCTGTGCTCAGGAACCATTCCTGCAGGGCACAGGGGCCCCAGCGGGGTGCCAGGAATTGAACCCTGGCTGCATGCAAGGCAATGCCCTACCCACTGTCCTACTACTCCAGCCCCTGTAAATACAATTTTTACAAAGGAAAAAAGAGAGCCTGAGTCTGCTTAAGGAATTCTTGGTACCTAGAGTATGTATTATGCATTGAAATTAAGTATAAATTGTGGGGTTTAGGGTATAATTTTATAACAACTCACAAAAGACTAAGACAATAGTTTTTTCAATCCAAGAATCATTTCCAGTATTAACATAAATATTTTTACTTTTGAATCAGTTTTCATCCATTGACTTAAATAAGCAGTTCATTGGTGGTATCAGCATTTTTCTCCAAGGTAGGGAAAACTAATGCCCTGAGACTGTCTAAATAAATAACTTGGTGATTTAGTAGTGAAGCCAGATCCAGAGCTCAGGTCTCTGAAGCCTTTTCTTCTCTGAATTTCAAATATATTTAACTCTTTCCCCCAAGGACTCCTTTCACAGTTCCTATTTGCAATGATTTTGAATTTTCCTACCTCTGACCTGAAAAGTGTTTTCTATTTATAATCGTAATTCAGGAATCCAAGAACCAAGATGCCATTATCAGTTGAGAGACGGCTCCGGATGAGCTTTTGGAAGTAAAAGATAGAGATGTAAAGGAAAGTCCAAACTGAAGATTTATATTGTTTAGAGCTGTGGTTGGAGAGATAATACAGGGGTAAAAGCCCTTGCTTGTGGCTGATCCCCAGCATCTCACAGTCCCCCAAATCATGGAGCCAGGACTAGTCCCTGACCACTGGTGGGTATGTCCCAAACACGATCATTTCCTCCCCATTCCCAATTTATTTATTTATTTTTTAAATGTAGGAGTAGTGCTATTTATTCAGCCACTGATTAAGCTGATTGAATTGGGCGTGAATTCCACATTACTTTAAAAATTTTTAAAAAATATTAGATATCTGAGAAACAGACCATTACAGAACTGTTCATAATTGTTTCAGTCTTACAATGATCCACCATCCATCCCTCCATCATTGTACATTTCCCACCACCAATGTCCCCTGTTTCCCACCATCCCCGACCCCCAGCCTCTCTCTAAGGGAGGCACTTTCCTTCTTGCTTTTTCTCTCCTTTTCCTTTTGTGCATTATGGTTTGCAATGCAGGTGCTTAGAGGTCATCCACCCCCAATTTAGTGCTGCTGGATCCTTGGGTGGGAATTTGGGCTGAGTAGATCAGTGAACTGGGTTATTATGTTTTACGAGCAGAACATATGAGGATTCTCTTTCTTGAGGGTGGGGATTGGGCCGCACCCAATGGTGCTGAATTTTCCTCCTGACTCTCCTCAAAGATCACTACTGGTGGGCTGGGGAGACCATATGGGATGCTGGGATTGGGCCTGGGTCAGCTGTGCAAGGCAAGCACCCTACCTGCTTTGCTTTCTCTCCAGCTTCCAAACCACTCTTTATTTTCCTCTCAGCGATGGGGGTAGGGCGGCCACAACCGGGGGTGCTCAGGTCTTATTCCTAGCTCTGTGCTCAGGAATCATTCCTGACAGTGCTCAGGGGACTATATGGGATGCTGAGGATCGAACCTAGGTCAGTTGGTTGCATGCTAAGGTAAACACCCTATCTGCAGTACTATTGCTCCAGCCCTTATGTGCTTTTTAAACTGGGATTTTCTAGCTGAAGAAACTGATTCTAAAGTCGTTCTTTTTCTCTCTGATTAATGAGTACATGATAGCCATGAGCTTGGATTACACTTAGCTTCTTTCTTTTCAATTCCTTCCCCCTTTTAAAAATTTCTTTTCTTGGTGATGTTTTTAAAAATTCCTTCCTCTTATTGGTGATGACTACTACAATAAGGATGGGTTTGCTCATTTTTGTTTTTCAGTTTTTCAGGGGCTACATCTAGTGGTGCTTGGGGGTGGGGGTGGTCCTAGCAGTGCTTGAGGGACAGTGTGGTCCCAGGATGAAACCAGGTTCCCACATACGTGCTTCAGCCCTTTAGGGACCCCCAAGAAATGAAGTGGTGATTAGAGAGCTGTA